CCCTCTCTTCCTCCAGCCCTCTCTTTTTCTTTACTTCTCTTTGTCCCTTCTTTCCTTATATTTTTATGGCCCCAGTTGGGCTCTAACTCATGGTCTTCCTGTGTCAATCTCTGAAGTTCGGGGATTACAATGTGCCATCACCCCTGACCCATTCTTGAAACATTGATATTTACAGTGATTACTTTTAAAATAATTTTATAAACTTCATTATAAAAAAAAAAACTTGCAGATAAACAAAAACATCACTCACCAAAAATAACCAGACCCGAAATCTATACAATGCCATGAACTTCTATACAGTTAGAATAGGCAGTTGGAACAGAAGCTGTGGAGGTTTATTTTAAATGTTATACTTTCAATATCAAACATATCTTATGCACTATCCACCACCAATAACAAAACAAAAAAAAATTGACAGAATTAGATAAAGAAAAAAATAGCTTTATGTCCCTTTTATAAATGGTGTCCATTACTTGCATCTGTCTACAGCAATTACAAGGGTCCTGCATTGAGATTTTACTGTGTCAGATGCTGCTGCATCTTACAAATAAGGAGACAGGCTGCAAGAAGTTAAATGTCATTTCAAGACCACTGATGTGGTTTGGACATTGCTTGAATGTATCCCCCCATGGTGTATGTGTGGAAATTTTGATTTTTTTTTTTTTGAGGTAGGGTATTACTGCCTTGTCCAGGGGCACTGGAACTCTTGCACTCAAGACATCTCCCAGTAAGTTTTCCAAGTGGCTGGGGCAACTCCTTTATGCATTGAAATTGAATCCTCATTGAGAGGCGGTAAGAAAGCAAACTCTGACTGTGGTGGTTAGTGGTGACTTTTAGGAGCGACTAGGATTGGATGAGGTCATCAGTGTGCAGTTCCCTGACTGAATACTGAGGTTGTATAAGAAGAGACACCGACTTATGCAAGCATCTCCATCTCTCACCTTGGAACTCATTGCACTAACCCAGGACTCTGCCCACAGGAAAGTCGCCACCAGATGCAGCCTCTTGCCCTTCATCCTGCAAGGCTGTTAGCTAAAATTGACAAAACTCTTTTCTCTGTGACTTGCCTGGCCTCTGGAAGCTATTAGCAAGAGAATCAGACAAACACAGTTACTTAGCGAGGATTCAGATAGAGGTAAGACTGATACCACAATATTCTGCTCTGTGGCTACCAACCATGGGTGGCTGTGCACATGTCTTTACTACCTGCATGGTCCACTTCCATCTCCATTTTTCTAGATAACTTTTATCTTTCTAGTTCTACAGAAATTGACTTATTCAAAATTCTAAAAATTGTTTTTGTAAAACTGAATACTTTTCAGTCTTCCAAAATTGTGGTTATATTTTATATAACTTTCAATTCCCAGAAATATGGCATATTACATAACTTGAAAAATATTTTGCTACAAAATACCTATAAATGAAGGGGAAATAATTGACGCATGGCTGATTTTATAAGTGTCATCTGCGGAGTCAGGAGTGCAGGATCATGCAGATAGGAATGGAGTCCTGTGCAGGAGGGGCTGCTGCAGCAGGAAGTCCAGAATGCAGGAGTATTTTTAATGTAGGTGTCTCCAAGATATGAAGCTTTATACAAGACAAGGAGCTCACATCAATCCCTGTGCATGAATTCAGAATCTTCAAAAGGCAGTGGGTATGCCTGACATAGTAACGTATGCCAGGGCTGGGTGAGTGGAGGCAGGAAAATGAGAAATATGGCTCCATAGTGAGTGTGAGGCCATGCTGGGTTAGTAGGACCCTGTCTCAACCAAACAAAACACAAATAAACTAAGCAATGGCCCTAGTGAAATTGTAGATTAGTAAATGCAAACTCTCTACCACGAGCTATACCCCCAGCCTCAGGAGCAAGCATGAAGGTCTCTTTTGACTAGCTCAGGCTGGCCTGGAACATGCTATGTAGCCCTGGGTGGCCTGAAGCTCATAATTCTGCCTGAGTCTCACATATGCTGGAATTAGAGTGTGAGTCACCATACCCAGCCATCCTAGGCTTCCTAAGAAGGCTCTCGAGCTCAGACAAATACTTACTGGTTTACTTTTTCTACAGCAATTCCAGGCCTGGTCCATTCTCCACACTGTCCACCAGGGAGAAAGTGTGCTTGCTTGTGGTTTGTCCATCTTACAGTTCTCCCGCGCTCCCTTTGCCTCTCCCCCACATCCAAGGCGGGATCATTCTGCTTGTCACCCGACTTTAATTCTCACCTCGTGTCTGGTCTCTTATTAACAAAGAACCTTGTTTAAGATCACAGTAAAGCCAAGATAGGATATTTTACAATTGTGTAGACACTTTCAAGCACGAAGAACTTTATAAGAAACGGGTACGTGTGTCACGCACCTAACCCACAGACACACGCACAAATGCGCACACACTGCACCTTTATATAAATATAAAACCTGTCCTTGCTGACTGGATTCACCAAGGAAGGTAAAGGAAGAAGTGGCAGATCAAGGCAAGGGAACAAAACATGGTGTCAGATCACAACAATGATTTGACGCCATTTTTTTGTTTCCTTGCCTTTACATTTATTGTTCTGGGCTTTATATCTTATTTTCTCAACTGGGTTAAATGTCCTTGGTGATAAAAAAAAAAATGAATTAATACCTTTTGTCACATTTGCTTCTTCCTCTGAGTATGTACAAGGTAAACATCTCCAGGAATTTTCCACTGGACTAAAGTAGATCATTTGGGGAGCTATCTCTTTAAAGATTATAATAGTACATCTCTAAGACCTTCCATTTTCTATGTACCCCCGAGATCAGTTCCTTGTGGAATAGTTTTGTTCACCCCTCACCCCGCATCTGGCCCCTTTTACTTCCTCTTGAAATGCTCTTATTTTAGTATTGTATTGCTGAAATGAACATTGAAATGCTTTTGATTGTGATGGCAGAAATCCTTGGGGAATAAGAATCATGCTTTTAACGTATTTCCTATCAAACTGAAAGTAATATACCTGGTTGAAATACCAGCCTTGTCCTCACACATTAGAAAGTTATAATCAGTGGAAATGGGATATGTTGGTTTTCTCTTGAGTTTTTTCCCCCCTTAATTCTTTCTGATGCAGACATGTGAGATGCTTCATGCACAGTGGAGCATTCTTGACTAACTACTTAATGATGCCTCCATTCCATTGGACTTTAGACCCGAACAAGAGTGACTTCCACCTGTCATAAAGCCTGCTGAGAGAATCTAAAGCCTTAAGAGCAGAGACTGTGTACTTAGTGCTACAGAGAACTCAGCATGTAACATTCTAAGCATGTCAGATTTTCATAACTCTCCTAGAGCAGCAGCAAGAAAGTGGTAGACGTGTGTGTATGTGTGTGTGTGTGTGTAACAACAATTAATCACAGCAGAAGGACTCAGATACGGAAAAGGACAGATGGCTCTCTGTAATTCCTAAATGGTCTTATAATAAAAAACTCAGAGCCAGATACTAGGGTAAATGCTGAAAGATCAGAAAGACAAAGGAACAAGCCACTGCCACGTCTCACCTTGCCAACTCCATGAGTCCTCTGACTGAAATCCTCTGAGTGCACACCGGAAAGGCTCCAGCTGAAGAAGTCTCTACCTGAAAGGGATGATTCTGCCAAAAAGCCTTTAGTTCCTGTCTCCTCACACCTTATATACCTTTCTCCGCCCAGCCATCACTTCCTGGGATGAAAGGCGTGTGTGCTTCCCAGTACTGGGATTAAAGGCATGTGCCACCACTGCCTGGTTCTGTTCATCTCCTAGACTGAGTCAATCTTATGTAGTCCAGGGTGGCTTTGAGCTCACAGAGATCCAGACGGATCTCTGCCTCCAGAGTGCTAGGATTAAAGGTGTGTGTGCCACCACTGCCTGGCCTCTATGTTTAATCTAATGGCTTGTTCTGTTCTCTGATCTTCAGGCAAGTTTTATTAGGGTACACAGTATATCACCACAGCTCTTGTTACATTCTACCAGAAATAGAATATAGTACCAGATGTGAGTAAGGCAAAAAGACATAAGATAAAAATCCATACTATTTTATGCCATCAAACTGTTTAAAATCACAACGTAACGAGGAATATGGTGAGAATACAGTGAACCAAAGTAGAAAGGGTCATAATAAAATCAACAGCCACTGTGGAGCTAAGCAAAGGGTTCTCAGCAGAAATACAGATGGGTACGAAATATTTTAAAAAGCTCTTATCATCTTTAGGCATCAGGGAAATGCAAATGAAAGCTATTTTGAGATTGTATCTTACCCCAATTAGAATGGCTAAGATTGAGAAAACAAAAGATAACCATTGCTGGTGAGGATGCAGGGAACTGAGGATCCTCATGCACCGTTGGTGGGAGTGCAAACCGGCACGGCCACTAGAGAAATCAGTATGGCGGATCCTCTGACAACTAGAAATAGATGTACCATACAGCTCAGCTATACCACTCTTGAGTACATGCCCAAAGGACTCTATTTTCTGCTACAGAGACACATGCTCATCCATGTTCATGGATGCTCTATTCACGTCTAGGACATGGAAGCAGCCTAGATGTCCCTCAACTGACTAATAGGTAATGGAAATGGTACTGTAGACGAATTTCTAAACAGTCTTATTAAATAAGAAACACACAGCCAAATACAGGGGTGAAAGCTGTAGAGATCAGAGAAATAGTGAGAGCCGCCAACTAACCTTAGCTCACCACGCCCCCATAGCTTCCCAGGAGAACCAGCTTCTTCTGTCTAACCTGCGCCTTTATTGCCTTCCTGTTCTGTCTTCTCATTGGCTCTTAGCCCAGCCACCTCACTTCCTCGTCACTGCCTGTCTATACAGACCTCCAGGATCAAAGGCGTGTGTCACCAAGCTTGGCTGTGTCCTTGAATGCACAGAGACTCTGCCTGCCTTGTGATTGGATTAAGGGCTACCACCGCCTGACTTGTGTTTATGGATGACTATCTATGTCCTCTGATCTCCAGGCAAACTTTATTTATTAACATACCAATAAACTATCACCACATGGTACATATACACAATGGAATTTTATTCAGCTGTAAATAAAAATGAATTTTCAGATCAATGGCTGGAACTTGAAAACATACTGAACATGAACATGAGGTAACCCAAACCCCAAAAGACAAATGTCACATGTTCTCACTCATATGTGGATCTCAGCATCAAATCTGTAGATTTGTGTGTTTAACTTGAGTACCTGTAGATTTAGGGAACTAGAAAGGGACCACTGGTGAGGAGGAGGAGGAAGAAAGATCTTAAGGGAGAGGGGATAAAATACAGGTAATATGGAGGGGAAAGGGAGAATAATAGGGAGGAAAGATTAGGTAGGGAGATGAGGTCGGGGCAGGCAGGGGAGGATGGAGAGAAGGATAGCTCACCCTAAGAATGTTTGAAAAAGCCATGTATGGAAACTTCCTGTTTCATAAATACACACACACACGGGGAAGGAGAGTTAGTTTTCTTAAAGAGTAGGGCCACTGGTAGGTCTCCAGACTCCAGTGGGTGTCCTCACCCCCAGGAGAGTAAGCAGCGCAAGTTGGTCCCCGTGGGATCCTAAAAAACAAAACAAAACAAAAACAAAAAGGATCTAAAGCTGAGCTAGGAAGTTGGAGTGGGCAGGGAGCTGGGGGTGGATCTAGAAGAAGCTAGGGGGGAAAGTGGGGTGAAAATGCTCAACATAAATCGCATAAAACTCTCAAAAAGTAATGAAAATATTTTAAATAAAAAAACTAATAGCCACCGAGTAAGCGATTCACAGGTGATGCGGAGACTGTCAGATGACTGCCATTGAAGACGGTATTTTAAGGTACTTGCTAGGATTACTATCACGTTGTTTAGTATCATCTTGACAGGTCCACTGCGAACTCTAAGCTCACGGAGCTTTGGCCCATATACAGCAAACTTTTCTTAATGATTAAATTTTAATGTTCCTCTTTTTAATCTCTCCCCCAGAGATTTCCACATGTAAAGGTACATGTGTGGTTTAGAAAAAACCGAACTGATTAACGTCAACCAGGCATAGATACAATGAAGACTTGGGTATTTTGCAGACCTTTCTCACCTTCTTCGTGTGTAAATTCTCTAAATTTGACTGGTAAATAAAAAACGTGAAAGTTATATACAGTAAGAGGGGACCGTGGGATGTTTCAACACATGTGTGCATTATGTAACATTTGAGCATACTTGTCTCCTCAAGTGTTATCATTTCTTTGCAGTGAAGACAAAATCCTTCTTGCAGCTTTTTGGACTGTATAATGAATTACTGCTACTTATAGCGACTTCTTGCACTTATCTAACTGTAAACACACAGATTGCACTGGATTATGTTTAGGCATTATATAACTCATCTGGCATATATGGAATGGTGCTTTCAAATCTAAACAGCAGGTGGAGAGATGGCTCAGCTGGTAGAGGCACCTGTCCCCAAGCCTGGTGATCTGAGTTCGATCCCCAGGCCTAGCTTCTGAAAGTTGTCTTCTAACCTCCACACATGCACCGTGAAATGTGCATACCCCCAATGAATAAGACAAAATAAAAATAAAACTTCAATGAAATCATTTTAAAAACTCTAAACAGAATGTTTACCTTATTTGTGTGTGTCCCTATACACTCAGAATTTCCAGAACACGGAGAGATGAGAATGGTAACTGTGTCAGAGAACATACACTTAGAAGGCAAATATTGATTTCTAGGAATGTTTTAGGTGGGGAGGATTGCTAAGAAAAGTCCCTTCTTCTGGAAGGTCTTGGCTCCCTGGTCAAACCTCATGATAAGCTCTACCAGTGATCTGGCTTTCAGAAAGAACAATCTCAACAGATTCTGCTATCCTATGGATTGATTCCAGGGAACATTTTCATCTTTGGATGATCAAAGCATAGTTTGATAGGCTAAGAATGTAATAATTGGGATAATTAGCTAATAATTTTGCAGCAAAAAAAAAGTCATTAGTTACTATTAACTCCTCTGCATGCTAATGGTTTGGAGGAGAGTGGGGTGGTGCAGGAGCAGGGAGACCAACTTTAGAAGCTTAACTTGTTTAAAAGTGCATTTCAGGGTTCTCTGTAGCTGTGGTTGTTGGAAGTTTCAAGTCCTGGGACCCTGCAGCTGCTTGACTTGCCTATGGTTGCCGAGGTGGCAGTTGGAGTCACTTGGAGTGAACCTGCACTTGAGGACAAAGGACAGATTCTACTGCCTTCCTTCAAGGAAGAAGAGTCAAAACACTCACCATCTCTCACAGAAGACAACACGGCTATGTCTTTTAAACTAAACCAAACACAGGGTTCAATTGCTGTGAGGAGACCCGATGACCATGGCGACTCCTGTAAGAGAAAGCAGTTAACTGGGGCTTGTTTACGGTTTCAGAGGTTTAGTTCATTCTCATGGCAGGGAGCATGGCTGCACACAGGCTGACATGGTGCTGGTGGAGCAGCTAGGAGTTCTACATCTGGGTCAGCAGGCAGCAGGAAGAGAGAAGGATACTGGGCCTGGCTTTGGCTTTTGAAACCTCAACCCCCCTCTCCGCCCCCCACCCCAGCAACATACTTCCTCCAACAAGGCCACATCTCCTAATCCTTCTCAAGTGCCACTCTCCCGATAACAAAGCATTCAAATACATGAGCCTACAGGGGGCCATTCTCATTCAAACCATCACAGGAAGTCATTGGGAAACTTGGGGTCCCTTTTTGGAAGTTCTTGGCCCCATAGATAAGAAAATTTACACACAGACACAAAAAGCAACTTGAGAACAATGTATTGGAGTTGACAAGAGAGAAAAATAGGAAAGCCAAGCTAGAGAACTTGCTAGCTACCAGGGAGGGACAAAGAAAGAGGAGGAAGGAAGACCATCCTGCTGTGTTCTGAGTTAGAAGTCAAGAAAAACAAGAAGGCTCAATAAGGGAGGGTGTGAGCAGCTGCATCAGGAAGGGGCTGCAGAGAGAAGAGTGGACTGAATATCAGGGCAAGCAGGTTGGGGGTTTGGAAATGCAAAGAGGCATGAGTCAAAATTCCACTTTCTGAATTTGAAGCGGGCTTAGCCTTGAGTGTCTGTAAGCCACTCCTGGGGGAGAAGGGAATTGGGAGGACGTATACTTATCTTGTCTTCAGTTGCATCTTGTTTCTTCTCACCTCTTGGTCTTAGTCAGGTCTTTAGATTGTAAAATGATTTCCTCTTTAACGCAGAAGTGGTCTTGCCCTTGCCTAGGCAGTGGCCATGAACCTGACCACTGATGATGAATGGCATTCGAAAATCGGATTTCTGATCTTCGTGCTATTTATGTTCAAGGATGGGAACACTTGGAAACGTCCCTAAGGAGGTCTCCAACATGCAGATGTTATTGACAGGCCATGGATCATGATATTTGTGCCAGAGGATGATGACATGGACATTCACGTGTCACAAGCAGTAGGGAAGTAGATGACTACAAACAGCCCTTTTTTGCCAGGCGGTGGTGGCGCACGCCTTTAATCCCAGCACTCGGGAGGCAGAGCCAGGTGAGTCTCTGTGAGTTCGAGGCCAGCCTGGTCTACAGAGCAAAATCCGGGACAGATACCAAAACTACACAGAGAAACCCTGTCTTGAAAACCTCCCTACCCCGCACCCCCCCCCAAAAAAAACCAACCAAACAAACAAAAACCCAGCCCTTTTTAATTTCCTAACTAGCGTTATCTATCAAAAGTACAATGACAAATTTACTGTGAATGACAAGGAAGGAAGGATTTGAACTAGGTCTTCCCATATCCTGGAAACGAACCCAGGGCATCCCTTTTATTTATGCGCCACACCCGTCTCCATTCACACTGGCTACCTCAAAATCCTTTCCTCTTGAGTTTTTCTCTTCCTTATCCCCATGAGGGAAGAACTTCTTTTTCTCATTGGTTCAGAAGTAACAGGAAGAATCCACTTCTGCCCCGGGACGTAGAAGAGTTACTGAGGGAGGGAGTGTCAGAATGCAGGCGGCCATTCCAGCATCCTCGGTGGAGGATGGGATTTCTCCGTTTTCTGGAATGAACTGCAGGTGTCTGGAGTTCTTTGGTCCCATCGTGAGGAGGTTAGTTGGCTTACAAACCCTTCTGGAAACCTATCCACCACGTATAACTTTATTTCCCGAAGAACGCATTCTTCTGCATTCTGAATGAATCCACCAACATCTTTTTTGAGAGTTGAAGGCAGCGATCTGTAAGCGATGGCTTCTCCACTTTTTCTGTTACAGCGTTCTAATGACGCTTGGTGCTAATCTCGGGGATGATTTCTTCAGTGTCCAAGATATTCAGAGAAAGACCTCATCGGCAAGAATATAAATGCTCTAAAATTAAACTGATCATTTGACTGGAAAAGATGGGTTTTGACTGATAAGCACACACAAAGTGATGAATTGTATTGGCTTAGTCTTTTTAAATATACAAAGGTAAATTCCTTTTAATATTTATGGGCCACGTCCGATCTCTCTGAAGGCTTTATGAGACTCATAGTCGTGCTGCCAATAAGCACATGTGCAGATGGCTGCGACAGAGGACACCCTCATTTCTTTTCTGGGCTGCCGTTGTTTGTTTTGTTTTGAGGTCATACACAATGTCACACCAAGTTTAAAAAAAATAAATTTTCTACTACTATTCTACTTACACTTATTCCAGGGCTGCTAAAAATGAAGTAAAATTCCATAGTGAGTAATAAAATCAGACCATTAATCATTGATACTGAATTATGCTTTTTACTTCAAAAGTGAAAAGAAGCAAGGTGTGGTGGTGCATGCCTGTGACTTGGGGTTTGGAGGCAGGAGGATCAGGAGTTCAATGTCATCCTTGGCTCCACAGTTGATTCAAAGTTAGCCTGGGCTGTATGACCTCTCTCCAAAGAAAGAGAGAGCTGGGTATGGTGGCATGAGTCTGTAGTGCTAGAACTGAGGAAGTTTAAGTAAGAATGTCACTTTGAGCCCTGGAGTTTGGAGCTCAACATAGTAAGATGATCAAATAGCATCTATACACACACACACACACACACACACACACACACACACACACACACAACTGAAAGTGGGGAGGGGGAAAGAGAGGCAAGGAAAGGAGGAAGAGGAAGGAGAGAAGAGATGGAAGATCCTTCTCCACTGATCTCACCATCTTCTCCTCCAGCTGGTAATTACAGCTAGGAATATGTACAAAATGTGCCCCCAAAAAGCCAAATTTCAGTGGAGAATTTAGAACTGCTGGTCATTAAAAGCCCCTACTGCCTGTGGCTAAGGGCCTTTCCTGGGCGGTTTTTTACTTCATTGTTGAATTTCCCCAAACAATTGGAATTTAAATATTAGAAATATTAGCTTGCTGTTTTGCCATTATTTGATTCAGTAATCCAACTCCTCTGATGGAAACTCCAGGTCATTTGAATTGGAATTCAATTGTCTTTGTCCGCTCTCTTGCTGTAACAGGATGCCACATGCTTGACATTTTTGAAAAGAGGAAGTTCATTTCTCAGAGTGCTGAAGGTTCGGAGTCTGGGACCTTAGGATAGGGGCCTGGACACAGTGGTTTTGGGGCCCTTTCTTTGATGTTGTGAGAAGCTCAAAGGTTCTTATGCTCACAGATAAGCCTGGGGACCCAGGAATGTTAAGCACACAGGGTTGTCTATTCAAAGGGAGAGACATATAATCTATTTTCCACCCAGGAGACGGGAGAGTGGAAGTGATTAATTGCCTGGTGACCTTTGCGCTATCTGTGAGGCCACACTGGATTCTCCCACAGACACGTATTGTGAGCTTGTTAGTCTATAAAACCTATCTTTATGGAAGGTGTCACATGTAGTCAATCTATAGACCCCCATCTTTAGGGAGATATCACATGTACTTTACAAAGAGTTTCAATGTAGTCACATCTCAAACTTTATTGTGCACATGGGATTGAATTATTCATCACCAGGAAAATTTTCAACAAATTGTACTCTCCTCACATATACTTAAAATAAACTCCTTGGGCCCGGTGGTGGTGGCGCACGCCTTTAATCCCAGCACTCGGGAGGCAGAGGCAGGTGGATCTCTGTGAGTTCAAGGCCAGCCTGGTCTACAAAGTGAGTTCCAGGAAAGGCGCAAAGCTACACAGAGAAACCCTGTCTCGAAAAAACCAAAATAAATAAATAAACAAACAAACAAATAAATAAATAAATTCCTTGGGTAAGACTCTACTTTTAAACCAACACTGGATACTTAATTGTGTTGAATGAAACTACCTTCCTGACTCCCACGAATGGTTTCTCTCTGGCCATGGCGGTCATAGAGATGCCCGTAGGTGTCATCCATCTTTTCTAGTTATCTGCTGAGCCACAATGTAAAGGATGTTCTATGAGGGGAAAGGGAGCCTGACTTCCTGAGTAGCTAGGATTTCAGACATCACTTCCCTTTTTTCTTTCATTTCTTTTTGTTTCTTCTCTTCTTCCTTACCTCCCTCACTTATTCTTTTCCTCCCTTCTTCCCTCCCTTCCTTCTCTTTTTCGTCTTCTTTCAAATGTTGGGATGGAACCCAGGGCTTCATACATGCTAGACAAGTCCTTACCCCTGAGCTACACCTCCAGCTCAACCTTTTGACTTGAGATGAAAAAAAATCCACTCATCAGGTTTTTGTTCACCCTCAGCAGTGAAGCACATTAGTTATTATTAGCCAATGCCTATGGCTGTTCAGAAGTAGAAACCCAGAGCACTGTCTATGAAATACTGAATGGCTTCTGGAAGTTTAAAAGCATGAGTCAAATTCTATTGTTTAATCCTTTGTTCAAGCAGGGCTTGATGATTAAATCATTGAACAAGACAGGGAATCGCTTCATTGACACGTTTACATATATGATCATATATGTTGACTATTCAGTTACAGTTTTGTTTTCTCTGTGTGTGTGTGTGCTCGTGCATACACTCATGTTTGTGGTTCTGGGGATGAAACTCAGGGCCTTGGATATTCTGTTGCAGAGCCCTTCCATGTACACAGTTGTTTCTAGCATACTGAATGTGTGTGTGTGTGTGTGTGTGTGTGTGTGTGTGTGTGTGTGTGTGTGTATGTGTGTGTTTCTGTCTGTCTGTCTGCATGCGTACACAAGGCTTGCTAGATTGCCACATTTTCCAACTTGCCTGCTGGCTTCTAAAGGGGTCCAGGCTAAAGGAACTCACTATGTAGCTGAGGATGACCTCGAACTTCTGGTCCTCCTGCTTCTACCTCTTTAGTGCTGGGATTTACAGACGTGTGCCATCAAACTCAGTTCATGTCGTGCTGAGAATCCAACAAGGTTTTGTACATGCTAGGCAAACACCAACTGACATACATCCAGCCTAGAAAATTTACCAACCTTTCCCCTCCCATTAAAGACCTTATTATGGATAGTCCAGACAACCAACGTCTGCTAAATTCACTGAAGCCTTTATGTTCAAGCATAAGAGGACGAGGTCTCAAATTACCTAGGAAGAATGTCTCGAATGATAGTGTGGGGACAAATATGACAAAGCAGAACAAAATGAAACCAAAGTGACTTCTCACTGAGTGTAGCATAGTCATCTCCTGTCAGATAAAGGCTGAACGGGGACATAAGAGCTTGCCTTCTGTGGGAGCAAGCAGATGTTCATTCCTTCCTTTTCCAGGGGTGTGTGTGTGTGGCGAGGAGTCTCAAATCCATCCATGAATAACAAAGAAAACAAATCAAGGTGTCCCCCAAAACCCACGGTAAATATGGAAGAAAGCAGAGGTTGTGGTAAGACAGATATTTTGCAAGTCAAACTGCCTTTGCTTCTTACTTTTGTTTTGGATTTAAAAATTAAACAGAAGCCAGGAGGGAGAGAAGACCTAGAATGAAGCAAGTATGAACCGTTTCTCTTAAGCGAAGTTTTCCACTTCTTCCACGGTTTATTTCACAATTCCTGTGGAGTCCAGAGCAGGAGGAAAGGCTGAAATCTGAGAGCCGTGCCTAGCCTTGTGGTGGGTCTCCGATAAATATCCACAGAATAAATGAACTCCTGAGCAGCCAGTAGGCATCCGGAATGATAAGAGATGGCATGGATTCACACCAGTGTGATCCCAAGGCATTCCTAGCAGCTTTGGATGGATGCCCCAAAGGCACGGTACCTCAAGTGAAGAATCCTGGGTGCTTCAGGACTCGGTCTCTGGAACAAGTGAAAGCTCTTTGGAGAAATACATCTTTAAGCTGGTCAGCACTTGTTGCTTCGGTAGAGTGAATTCATGAGACCTCCTCCAAGCCCAGGATGTATTGGGGGATGGAAAGAGGAGATCCCAGAGTAAGGCCAAGTGAATGAGCTCTGGGTATAAGTGAGAGGCTATGCCTCAGTATATAACGTGGAGTGACTGGGCTAGACACCCAATGGCAACCTCTGGACTCCATGTGTGCACATGTGCACATGCACCTGCACACGATATGCATGTCTACACAGCAGAAACATGCATAGATACATGCATATCACAAGCAAACACATATTTAAAAAAAAATTAGATACTTGCTCTTCAAGGAGACTTTGGATTTTTTTTCACCAGAGCAATGCAAATATGGAGGTCAGAGGTT